CAGGAGCTGACTGTGGCTCAGATCATGAGCTTCTCGTTGCAAAATTTAGGCTTAAATTGAAGAAAGTAGGGAAAAGCACTAGGCCACTCAGGTATGAACTAAATCATATTTCTGATGAATATACAGTAGAGGTGACAAATAGATTTAAGGAATTAGATCTTAGATAGACAGAGTGCCTGAGGAACTATGGACGGAGGTTCGCAACATTGTACAAGAGGTAGCAACTAAAACCATCCCAAAGAAAAAGAAATGCAAGAAAGCAAAATGGCTGTCTGAGGAAGCTTTGCAAATAGCTGAGGAAAGAAGGGAAGCAAAAGGCAAAGGAGAAAGAGAAAAATACACCCAATTGAATGCAGAATTCCAGAGAATAGCTAGAAGAGATAAGAATACCTTCTTAAATGAACAGTGCAAAGAAATAGAAGAAAACAACAGAATAGGGAGGACCAGAGATCTCTTCAAAAAAATTGGAGATATGAAGGGAACGTTTCATGCAAAAATGGGCATGATAAAGGACCAAAATGGCAGGGACCTAAAAGAGGCAGAAGAGATTAAGAAGAGGTGGCAAAACTACACAGAAGAACTATACAAGAATGAGCTTAATGTCCCAGATAACCACGATGGAGTGGTCACTGACCTCGAGCCAGACATCCTAGAATGTGAAGTGAAATGGGCCTTAGGAAATCTGAGCAACAACAAAGCTAGTGGAGGTGATAGTATTCCAGCTGAGCTATTCAAAATCTTAAAAGATGATGCAGTAAAAGTGCTACACTCAATTTGCCAGCAAATTTGGAAAACTCAACAGTGGCCACAGGATTGAAAAAGGTCAGTTTACATTCCAATTCCAAAGAAAGGCAATGCCAAAGAATGTTCAAACTATCGCACAATTGCACTCATTTCACATGCTACTAAAGTTATGCTTAAAATCCTACAAGCTAGACTCCAGCAGTATGTAGATTGAGAACTACCAGAAGTACAGGGAGGATTTCAAAGAGGCAGAGGAACTAGAGATCAAATTGCCAACATACGCTGGATCATGGAGAAAGCTAGGGAGTTCCAGAAAAACATCTACTTCTACTTCATTGACTATGCTAAAGCCTTTGATTGTGTGGATCACAACAAATTGTGGCAAGCTCTTAAAGAGATGGGAGTACCAGACCATCTTATTTGTCTCTTGAGAAACCTATATGTGGGTCAAGAAGCAACAGTGAGAACTGGACATGGAACCACTGATTGGTTCAAAATTGGGAAAGGAGTCTGGCAAGGCTGTATACTGTCACCCTGCCTATTTAACTTATATGCAGAGCACTTCATGAGAAAGGCAGGGCTAGATGAATCAAAAGTTGGAATTAAGATTGCCGGGAGAAATATCAACAACCTAAGATATGCAGATGATACCACTCTAATGGCAGAAAGTGAAGAGGAACTAAAGAGCCTCTTGATGCGAGTGAAGAAGGAGAGTGCAAAAGTTGGCTTGAAACTCAACATTAAGAAAACCAAAATCATGGCATCTGGCCCTCTCAATTCCTGGCAAATAGATGGGGAAGAAATGGAGGTAGTGACAGATTTTATTTTCCTGGGCTCCAAGATCACCTCAGATGGGGACTGCAGCCAAGAAATTAAAAGACGCTTGCTCCTGGGGAAGAAAGCTATGGCAAATCTAGACAGCATACTAAAAAGCAGAGTTATCACCCTGCCAACAAAAGTGCGTATAGTCAAGGCCATGGTTTTCCCAGTTGCAATGTATGGATGCGAAAGTTGGACCATAAGAAAGGCTGAGCGCAAAAGAATTGAGGCCTTTGAACTATGGTGCTGGAGAAGACTCCTGCGAATCCCTTGGACTGCAAGGCGTTCAAACCGGTCAGTCCTAGAAGAGATCAACCCCGACTGCTCTTTAGAAGGCCAGATCCTGAAGTTGAAACTCAAATACTTTGGCCACCTAATGAGAAGGAAGGACTCACTGGAGAAGGGAATGCTGGGAAAGACTGAGGGCAATAGAAGAAGGGGACGACAGAGAATGAGGTGGCTGGATGGAGTCACTGAAGCAGTAGGCATGAACTTAAATGGACTCCAAAAGTTGGTAGAGGACAGGAAGACCTGGAGGAACGTTGTCCATGGGGTTGCGATGGGTTGGACATGACTTCGCAATTAACAACAACAATATTATATTATATTATTAGAGCAGGTAGAGCTGGAGGCAGAGTTAAGCATGTCATTAGCTTAGGGTCATTACCTTGTCAAAACCCTCTTGAATTCTGTTGGCCTCTATGGTTTAAATTCTGCACGATTTTCCCAAGTGAACTTTCATTTGAAAAGATATTACAAATATCACTTATTGTTACCTAACCGCATCTATCCTAGGTAGCAATAATCTTTACCGAAGCTGCTCCAGAGATTATAAAAGTGTTAGAAAAGCGCTGAATACTGCATATTGCTCACTTGTTCATTTTCTTTTATTCACGTCTCCAGCATCCTTGGCTCCCACCAGGAAGAGAGATATCGCAGGGGCAGCCTTCAGGGCCATGATTGCTGGCACTGTGGCCTGCTTCATGACAGCTTGTGTTGCAGGTACTGTAACATTACATGCCACCATTTGACACATTATGTTTGACATGATCCAGAAACTTTATGCTGCATGGGGGAAATTGAACCCTCCCATTGAAATCAGTCGAGTTTTTAGAAAGACTTAAATGTGATGTAATTGTGCTTCAGTGATAGCATCATTTGGTTTTGAATAGAATGAAGAAACAAATCCTTGCTTAATGGTATGATAGCAATTATAATGGCTTAGATTTTAAAAAAAGTTGAAGGAAGGGACTTTCCTTTCTATTATCTCTCCTTTTGAAGACCTTTCTACATAGACATCAGCCTCTCCCTTTATAGACTCTGCCCCAATTTTGTTCCTTATACAAGTGATCTGCTCCATCTTTCTATTGAACCATCAAGCATATCTTGCATTCCATCTTTCTGCCTTCAAAAAGCTGCTGAGTCGTCCCTCAAAAACTGGACAAAATGGTGACAAAATGCTATAGAGCCCTAGTTGTAAGAGGCAGGGAGAAGTTTCTGGAAGACCAAGCTAGTTAAAAGTTCTCCCTGGTGGGAGAACCACTCTTCCAGAAGAAATGCTACAAGCCTGTGATAACAAACGCAATAGCACTTATTTACATACCCCTTCACAGTGCTTTACAGCCCTCTCTTAGCGGTTTACAGAATCAGCATATTGCCACCAACAATCTGGGCTCTCATTTTACTGACTTCAGAAGGAGGGAAGGCTGAGTCAACCCTAATTCCCTGTCAGCAGAATTAGCCTGCAATACCGCATTCTAACCACTGTGCCACTACGGCTCTTCTGATTGTTATTTGGCGCTGCTTCCCAAGTCCTACATGTGCCCCACATCATTATGGCATCCTAGTGCAGATCAATGCATCCCCTTTGTGTGAAAGGGCTCTGAATCCTCTAAGGAGCCTCTTCCAGGAATCATCTTCCTTAAATGCAAAGGAGTCTTGCAGGAAATGGAAGGCAAGACAACTATCAAAAATTGGGTAAAGAAACTTATAAGATGATGCTCTTTCTCACAAAAGGTAATTCTATCCAATTTGGCATTTTTTCATCTCCTTCCACCCACAGCTCTCTCTCACTATGTCATACAGGAAGTTTTCCTAATACTTGGAAAAGGTTTCTTCAGGAACCCCTTGAAATGAAAAAAAACAAACACCCCCTCTGTTTCCACTTGTATTTAGTTAGATTCAAAATCTTGTCTGAAATAACGAGAGTGGCTTGGAAGTATAAGTGTAAATGTATTTTTAATTCTTCATGCAAAAATAGGTATTTCTCATTCTCTAAGCTCAGCCTGTTTAAAAGGGCAGCTCTTCACATGTAGATTTAAACAAAACACTTAAGGTACATTTGTTTAACAAAGCTCAGATTTTAGTATCCAAGGCCTATTCAGAGAACACTATAGTAGACTTTACTGCACCATCACCTGAAAAGAGCTCATGCAACACATGGGTGCTCTTGCCTAGAGCCCAATACAATCCTTCCAATCTGGCAGATACTTTGTTTAATGAGTTGAAGGAAAACCTTTTGAATGAATGCACTTTTTAAAAGCTGAAAAGAATAGGTAAAATCTAAAACAGTTTTTTTCTGAACTGTGGATCTGATAGCTGAGGCCATAAGAATCCATTAGGATATTATCTAACATGGTATGGGTCTTGCCTTTGAGATATTTTTCAGTTCTGTAAAAGAAACATTACAGGCTTTTGGTGAGTCGGGTTTGCACACAAAGATTTTGTCTGAATGGGTCAAAAAATATAGGTGGTATGATAGATTGTGCATAGTCCCTGAGATGGATTCTGAAAAGCACTACAGTATGTGTGTACAACCCAGCTCCAGTGCAAACCAATCCATTCATTGTCAATTTAACTAAATTGAACAACCTTGTGAAAAACAGAGATAAAGTACAAGTCAGTGTCTCAGTGCATTTGTTACCATAACCCAGAGATACTATTGCTTAATACAAACATCTTTTCTGATCCTTTTTTAGGTATATTATCTGAAAATCCATGTACAACATTATTACAAAGCAACTTCAATGCAAATGACAATAGCACCGAAATAGTTGCCTGCTGCTTAAACCTCTTTAACAGGTAATTAGATTAGAATCCCGTGTCATAGAGATCATATGTGAAGTCAGACTGCTTATTGCCAGTAAATATTCCAAGAATATTGAATGTGATATGAACTATAATATATAAAGATATGGCATAATACGGTAACATTTCAGAAGTTCCTGCAGATAGTTTTTTTAAAAAGTATGGGTTATAAAAGGCTGAATTTTTTAAAATTTGTTTCCATACTTTCTCTGCTCTTCAAGACAGCACAGTAATTTATATTTGAACACCCTTGTCTTAGTTTGACTGCTCAGTTTTTGAAGACTTATGGTAAATTTTTATCTTTAGTGATGCCTTCACAAACATTAAGAGCTCTTACTTAGTATCTATATTTGGAAATCTTATGGATATATGATCAAGAGCAGGAGCATTAGTGAGAAATTATGCAACATTTCTCTTCCATATACTACAGTATATATCTGCAATGCAGTTTATCTCTTTACTTTTTCCAGTTAATATCCTTATTTTAAGCAACCTTACTCTAATTAAGCAGGAGGCTAATGCACAAATAAAGACTCCTGCATGCACAGAATTTTTCCCACTGGCCAAATGCTAATTTAGGGAGAATGGGAACCTCTCAAAGAAATCTGGCAAATTTTGTTACATTTGCTAAATTTATTATTCTGTTCTAGCTAGTCTGAAATAATCATACGGATTCATTGCCAATGAAACAAGCTGTTGGTTATTCCAAGAAGTTTTGAAAATATTATTTATAATGGAACTTTTTATCCATTGCATTTTCTGTTTTACAGTTTATTATAATGTTGTAATCCACTGATGAAATGTTATGTATGATAAATAACTTTATTCCTATTATTATTATTATTATTATTATTATTATTATTATTATTATTAAAAATCATTCTCTTTTTTATCAAACAGTGGCAACAGTTCTGCAGAGGTCTTCCCGAAGTCTAACAGCGGTTTAAGAGCCTTGCACCAATGTTGTCAACTTCTGGGCCCATCCAAGGTTAATTGCAGCTTGGTCACTCCATTATCTTAAGCTGTTGAATAGGATTCAAATTGATGGTGGATGAACAGAAAAGACAAGATGGAAATGGGATGATCTTGTTGCTAACATAGACAGGGGGAAAACGTGTTCTAACTTAAACTGCAGTGGTAGCTATCTGCGTCCTCTATTTTCAAAATGTTGCTGATGAAGGACGTTTTTGATATATTTGTAAGTGGAAAAAAACTTGCATACACATATATCATAATCACATTTAAGGTTTAGAATGACATTTGAATCTTCCATCTTGGATTTATGGAAATAACTTGAGAACACATTGTAGGTTAGAAGGTCTGATTTGCACACATTCCTGGTAGTGTCTGTTTGGATCACATTGATGCAATAAGTCACTACCTTGGTTAAAATGCAGCCTGTGGTGGGATAAGCTAGAGACACATTCAGTCACATTAATTCAATTTGAATCAATCAGAGAAATATTCAAAAATTATTTAAAATGACTCTAAATTTGCTTAATTTGCACCTTTCAATTTCTGTTTAGATGCCCATCAAAACTCTGTTTTGTTCTACTGAGATAAGATTGTTATTTTAATATGATCCTAAGTATGCTCAGAGCTAAGCTGTTTCTTTTTCTCCTGTGGAGCTTATTTACAAATCCAAGTCAGAAAATAGGCAACTCACAAACTAACGGAAACTCTACTTTGGTGTTATAGGACATAATAACATAATTTTGAAATTCTGACAGTTTCTCTCTAGGCCTTTTTGTGCCAAACAAAATCAAAGCAGAGCTCTCTTGATTTTCTTTCCTACCCCTTCTTCTTTCCCAGAACTGAGTTGTTATTTACTTCATCAGTTACATACTATATATCAGTTGATGTAAGAGAAACGTATATAATGAAATGGACTGAAAACCAACTTTTCAGTCAGGATTCAGTTCCGGTTATGGGATGATGATGGCATTGGTTGGTTTTTAGAACCTGGGAATATTTTCATTCAGATATTAATCAAGGAAAACCAGTTCCACTTGAAAATCAGCTTCCCACCACCCCTCAAAAAATATGTAGAACAGGTTCTAGTCTTACAATGCAGGGTCATGGGTATAAATTAATGAAAAGTAGTTATACATAGGCACTTTTGTTGCTAGAATATTAACAAAACATCAATTTAAGTACTACTATATGATCTGTAAAAAAAAACACCACAGTTTTCACTATTACAATTTGTTCTACCAGATTCTTAATGAACTGCAGGAGTAATATTTAAATTATTAAATAAATATGTTCTGTTTCCATTATTTTTATATATTTATCAATTTGTATTGCTGCCTATCTTACAAAAAGGCAAGGATAGATGCACAACCCCCATCATGCCAGCGAGCGATCATCGAAAAGTACAACCAATGCCATCATCATCCCATAACCGGATCTGAATCCTGACTGAAAAGTTGGTTTTCAGTCCATTTCATCCATGGTCCATTGAAACTACAATCTAACCATCTTCTCAATCACCTTCCCCCCAAAAGGGAGGTTAGATATTGAATGAAAGTTGTCCAGCATGAAAGGATGTAATGAGGGCTTCTGGAAGAGAGGTTAAACCAAGGCCTATTTAAGAGGTAAAGGGACAATCCCTTCATTCAAAGAAGTACTTTAAATTGTGAAGACTTTAACCCCCAGAATTCCAGAGACAGCATGCATGCTGGCTGGGGAATTCTGGGAGCTGAAGTCCACATAATTTACAAGTTGCTGAATTTGGAAAACATTGCTCTGGAGATTTTGATAGATCATAGTATCTATCCTGCTATTTCATGAATAAATAAAGAGAAATTGCCATGCATCAATAGATAATACTTTGATCCTTTATTTTCCTTTTTTAATGAAGAGGAACAAAGAGGAAAAAAAGAATTATTAATAGAAAAGAGAAAAAAGAAAAAAAAGAAAAGTTGGGTTTTTTAAATTATTGTATGTAAAGCTTTGTTAAATTTCTATGTTTTAAAAAATGATAAATGATTTATCTCAATATATTTAAGTCTTTTTTTTTACTTTCAAAATATTTTCCAAGGGCATTTTGTACATTATTTCTGCAACAAGGAAAACATGTTGATAAAATATATCATTCTAAAATTTGTATGTATTCTAGTGATAACATTTAATTTTTAATAAAATAATAAACTCTTTTCTACATGCATACTTCTTTCTGGTCATATAAAACTGCTGATCTCATTATTCAAAAAACATCTAATAGAAGTATTGTGTGCTTTTAAAATGCAAGTTTAAATTCATGTAGTTCAATTGTGCCACAAAAAACATGCTGTATATGAGTTTGTGTGTGCATGTCTGTACGAAAGAGAGAGGAGAAAGGGGAAGGTCTTATGAGATCAGAACATACATATTTTTTACCCTGATAATCACAAGAATGGCAGCAATAGAATTTGATATTCTGCAGCTGGTGATGTGTTGTTTTTGGTCCTGGAGATATATAACAATTGTTGATATTCTTGTCATTTTGATGCTTGTCTGATCTCAGTGCAGTACTCTCCAGGTGTGATGGACTTCAATTCTAGTCATTTTAAAATCTATGCTGCATTGTGGAAGTAGAAGTTCAGTATATCTAGAAAACATGTAGAAGGAAAGTGGTCTAATCTTGGTAAATATGAGTTTAGCACATGTCAGCCCTTCAAGATAGGCCATGTCAAGGAAGAGACTTCACAAGAACTGCTATTATAGAGTATAATAAAAGAGTCAAGAAAGCCTGACAAATTTTCTTTCTCTCTCCACCACCCCCTCACTTTTACACTAAAGAGAATCAAGATGGTGTGGTCTTGAGCTTCTTCCTTATCCTATACTCTCATTCGGGGCTTTTTTGTGGCTGTGTTTTGTTGTTGTTGTGTTGTTGCAGTTAAATGTAATGACCAGGATTATACACGATTGTAGAAATTGAGGCACTTTAGATTTCCTTCAAGTTATTACAAATACATTTGTTTAATTTTCCCGATGTTTCCTAACATGGAATTTGCCAATTTCCAGCCTAATAAAGAAGTGAATAGTGAACTGAATTCATAGAAATTGTATTTTCATTACAAGGAAAGGGAAATTTCCCAAACAAAACTTTTATCAGCCAGATTTTTGTGATAATGTTATTCTATCCAGAGCTGCTATATAATAATAATAATAATAATAATAATAATAATAATAATAATAATAATAATAATAATAATAATAATAATAATAATAATAATAATAATAATAATAATAATAATAATGTTGGAAGGGACCTTGGAGGTCATCTAGTCCAACCCCCTGCTCAGCAGAAAACCCTATACCATTTCAGACAAATGACTGTCCAGTCTCTTCTTAAAAACTTCCAGTGTAAGAGCATTCACAGCTTCTGGAGGCAGGTTGTTCCACTGATTAATTGCTCTAATTGTCAGGAAATTTCTCCTTAGTTCTAGGTTGCTTCTCTCTTTGATTAGTTACTATCCGTTGCTTCTTGTCCTGCCTTCAGGTGCTTTGGAAAATAGCTTGACTCCCTCTTCTTTGTGGCAACTCCTGAGATATTGGAACACTGCTATCATGTCCCCCCTAGTCCTTCTCTTCATTAAACTAGACATACCCAATTCCAGCAACCGTTCCTTACATGTTTTAGCCTCCAGTCCCTAATCATCTTTGTTGCTCTTCTCTGTTCTCTCTCTAGAGTCTCAGCATCTTTTTTACATCGTGGTGACCAAAACTGGATTCAGTATTCCAAGTGTGACCTTACCAAGGCATTGTAAAGTGGTATTAATACTTCATGTGATCTTGATTCTATCCCTCTGTTAATGAAGCCTAGCACTGTGTTGGCTTTTTTGGCAGCTGCAGCACACTGCTGGCTCATATTTAAGTGATTGTCCACTAGGATTCTGAGATCCCTTTCACAGTTATACTATTGAGCAAGGTACCACCTATACTATACCTGTGCATTTGGTTTTTCTTGCCTAAATGTAGAACCTTTTTTCACCATTGAATTTCATTTTGTTAGTTAGCACCCAATGTTCAAGTCTGTCCAGGTCCTCCTGTATCTTAAGCCTATCTTCTGGAGTGTTGGCTATTCCTGCCAGCTTGGTGTCATCAGCAAATTTGATGAGTTCCCCATCTATCCCCTCGTCCAAATCGTTGATGAAGATGTTGAAGAGCACTGGGCCTAGAACAGAGCCCTGGGGCACCCCACTACACACTTCCCTCCATGTAGATGCAGTTCCATTGAGGACCACACGCTGAGTACGGCCAGTCAGCCAGCTACGAATCCATCTGGTGGTGATGCTATCTAACCCACCTATGTATATGATAGCATAGATGAAATGCTACCTTAGTAATGTATACTAATAACATAATTTATTTGAGGAATGAACTATTTTTAATTAAAATAAATGCTCAACTTTCAAAGTACAGTTACATGACGCCTTTTAATTTCTCACTGTTTTGGGAAAGATCGGAAAATTTGTTAGAAACCTGAACCTTAATAGCATTTTCTATTATGTGTTACACTTCCTCACAACAAAATAATTCATTATATCAACAAAAACAGTTCAGTCATTCTATGCATTTTCCCTCAGTAAATACAAAACCAAAAACTTTACCACTTATTTTACGGCAACTGACTACAGATAAAATACATATGACATGAATGATCTCTGTTCTACCAATTTTCCCTCTTTAGGAAAAAAAAAAAAAACAATAGGAGGCTGCTAATTTAATAAAGGAAATAGAGGTATGGGTTTTAATTATAAAGCTAATGAGTTGAATGAGGAAAATAATATTACTTCGATTGGAACAATGGTCCATGAACCAGAGATTCCTCTGGCAGGTATTCAAAAAGACTTTGGATGATCCAAAGTGATCCCATACGGGTTTTCTGGGACAAGAAGCAATTTCTCTCTACTGCAAGGAAATCCAGAATGAAGCTTCCTCCTTCTGCATATAACTTCCAACTAAATCACAACAGATGTCTCTCTTTTTTTGCCCATCTGTTGTTCAAATTTCTCTTGGTTCAAATTTTAATTTGAAGATACTTTTTTCAATGAGTATT